CCCTTGCAGTCCTATTATGCCTTTTCAATCTTATTTGGTCACAAGGAGTTCTTCCACAGCTGTGGAAATCTGCCATTGTTCTCCCTTTCCGCAAACCGGGTACTATGGGACATGAAGCCTCCCACTATCGTCCCATTGCTCTTACCAGTGCAGTTTGCAAAGTGATGGAACGCCTGGTAAGTAGACGTTTAGTGTGGTATTTAGAGACGCACAACAATCTCTCCACTCGTCAATATGGCTTTCTTAAGGGCCGTTCTACCATAGACCCCTTACTACGTTTGGATACGTATGTTCATAATGCCTTTGCGAATAACCACTCAGTTATTGCCATATTTTTTGAGCTTGAGAAGGCATATGACACAACTTGGAGGTATAATATTTTAGCCCAAGCCCACTCCTTAGGCCTTCGAGGCAATCTACCATCCTTCCCTAAGAACTTTTTAACTGACAGACATTTCAGTGTTCGGGTTAATAATGTGCTCTCCCCGGACTTTATCCAAGCTGAAGGTGTCCCCCAGGGATTTGTTCTGAGCACAACACTTTTTTCTCCTTGCTATAATTGATTTGGCCTCTAATCTTCCATCCAATATTTGGTCATCACTGTGTTGATGACTTCGCTATTGCCTGTGCAGGCGCTGACTGTCACCTCATTACAGTTTCTCTCCAGCATGTGGTTGACAGTGTTTCCAATTGGGCCACCACACGTGAGTTTAAATTTTCCAGTACCAAAACTCGCCAAATTACTTTTACTAGACGCTCTGTCATCTCCAATCATCCTTTATACCTCTATGGCACCCGTATCCTTGAACGTGATAGTCAGGTTTCTAGGCCTCCTCTTTGACCGTAGGTTATCCTGGAAACCTCACATTACCTCTCTGAAGACAACTTGTCACAGCCGGCTGAACCTTCTTAAAGCCCTTCCTCATCTTTCATGGGGAGCTGATCGTCGAACTCTCCTTCGCCTACATTCCACCCTCATTTTATCGAAACTTGACTATGGTGACCATATCTATTCAGCTGCCTCTCCTGCTATTCTATCTAGCCTCAACCCTATTCATCACCAAGGATTACGTTTATGCCTTGGTGCTTTTCGCTCTTCCCCTGTTGAAAGCCTCTATGCAGAAGCGAACGTTCCATTCTTATCCAATTGCCGTGATGCCCATTGCCTTCGCTACTATGTACGCTCTCATGATCTCCGCAATCCGTCCATTTATAGAATGGTCACCGATATTAGTAGACATTCTTTATTTGTTCGCCGCCCCTGTTTGCTCCTTCCCTTCTCTTTTCGCCTACATTCGCTCTAGTCTTCTCTTCAATTTCCACCTTTCTATGTTCATGTAGCATCTCACTTTTCCCATACCCCTGGGGAGTTCCAGCTGTTCGAGTCTGTTCTTTCTCACTCCCTTGCTCGAAAGCCCAACTGTCTACAGTAGCTTCCCGCTCTCTTTTTCTTGACCACTTCCACTCTCATTCTCATGCCATTGCAGTGTACACAGATGGCTCTAAGTCTTCTGACTGCGTAGGATTCACAGCAGTGTTTCCGGACAGCGTCGTACGAGGGCATTTACTATCTTCGGCTAGTATCTTTACTGCTGAATTGTATGCCATTCTTGCAGCACTTATCCATATTGCATCTATTCCTGTGTCATCATTTGTGGTTTTCTCAGACTCCCTTAGTGCTTTACAGGCTATACAGAAATTTGATACACCTCACGCCTTAGTCCTCCGTATCCAACTTTGGCTACGCCGCATCTCTACCAAGCATAAAGATATTGTTTTTTGTTGGGTCCCTGGTCATGTTGACGTACAGGGCAATGAACAGGCAGACACTGCTGTGTGGTCAGCAGTATATGACCTACCAGTTTCATATAGAGGTGTTCCATTGACGGACTATTTTGCTGCAATAGCTACCCACCTTCACACCCGTTGGCAACAACGTTGATCTACTCTACTCGGTAACAAACTTCAATCTATTAAACCGAGTATAGGTTACTGGCCGTCGTCTTGTCACCAGTGCTGAGGTTGGGAGACTACTCTCTCCCGTCTCCGCATTAGCCATACTTGTCTTACTCATGGATGTCTCATGGAGAGGCGCCCTGCTCCTTTCTGAGAATTGTCAGGTTCCATTATCGGTCAGCCACATTCTGTTAGACTGCCCACTTTATCAATGAGCATGCAGAATTTACCTCCGTCGTCTTCGCTCCGCTGCTCTCTCTTTACCTTCCCTTCTCGCTGATGGACCCACCTTTCATCCGGACTCTGACTTTTTGACAACAACAACAGACTGACTTCACAAACTCTGATGATACCTTCAGCCCTTTCTACCTCGATCTCTTGCTACCCTCTACCCTGCACTATCCCCTGCCCAGCTGTTTTCTGTAACCTACTGATTGCCCCTTCCCCCTTCTGCCGCCCAATACCCTCACTTCCTTTCCTACCCTGCAGCGCTGTATAGCCCCTGTGGCTTAGCGCTTCTTTTTGATTATAATAATAATAATAATAATTCTCCACCATTGGGAAAAAATCTAGCAAACAAAATACCAAGCACAAACGCCCGTCCATCAGACTACCTCATAGGAACCTACCCAGATACGCTATTCCTAGCTCCAACCAACCCCACTGAAGTTATGATCATCATAAACACCCTTAAAAACAAGGCAGGAGACATAAACAACTTGCCTGCTTTTATGTGCAAAAAAGCCTTAAGTATTGTCACCAATTATTGCAACGCTCTTTAACAAATCCATTGAATCATCTACTTTCCCAACAATCCTCAAAATAGCAAGGGTCACTCCGATCCATGAAGGAGGTGACCAAGCTGACTTGAATAACTAGACCAATATCTAACTTACCACTGCTCTCTAAAATCTTTGAAAAATTAATTCGTAGACGGATCTATTCCTACCTCATTTCACACAACATATTAAACCCTTGTCAGTTTGGATTCAGGAATAATAAAAGCACAAATGATGCTATCATACACATGATAGAACTAATGTATACCGCACTTGAAAAGAAAAGTCCCGCTGGGCATTTTCATTGATTTACATAGCTTTCGATACAGTCGACCATGAACTACTGTACTCCAAATTAATGCACTATGGTATCAGAGGCCACTCCCTTAACTACCTAAAGTCATACCTTAGTAACATAACTCAATATGTGTATGCAAATGATGCAAACTCCTCCACCCAACCAATCACAGTAGGAGTCCCACAAGGAAGTATCCTTGGACCACTCCTCTTTCTCATCTACATCAATGATCTACCGAATGCATCACAGCTACTCAAACCCATATTATTTGCAGATGACACTATATATGTATTTTCCCACCCAAACGCAGTCATACTAGCAAACACAGTCAATGCTGAATTACAGAAAATATCTGCCTGGATGATGACTAACAAACTTACCCTGAACACTGATAAAACTATTTCATTCAGTTTGGAAACAAAGCTGCAAATGATCCAATTAACATTACACTAAATGGATCATCAGTCACAAGACTTGGAGGGAAAATTCCTAGGTATCCACCTTGACAGTAGCCTTAAGTTCCGGACACACGTACAACAAATCAAGAAAATCTCCAAGACTGTAGGCATACTATCAAAGATAAGGTACTATGTTCCACAATCAGCTCTCCTGGCACTGTACCATTCACTCACATGCCCTTATCTTACATGTGGAATTTGTGCATGGGGATCAACAACATCCACTCACCTAAAACCCCTAATAACCCAGCAAAAGGCAGCAGTAAGAATAACAAATTCCCACTCCTGCCAGCATACTCCACCAATTTTCAAAAGTCTGAATCTGCTTACCATTAAGAACATCCATACTTATTCATGTGCCTACTACATACACAGAACAATACGTGCAACTATAAACCTCCCATTCAAACTTTTCCTCACCAACCTAAACATGACACATGACCACAACACAAGACACAGATCTCTCTTTGATATACCTTGTGTCCATATCACACTGTGTAAAAACTCTATGCACATAAAGGGCCCCAAAATCTGGAATTCATTACCAGAAGATATTAAAGTAACCCAGTCTGAAAATCAATTTAAGACTCTTCTCAAAAGCCACTTAATCACCCTAGACTAAATGCTAAATACTCAGTATACATTTACTCACCTATGTACTCCCACATCATAACTGAAACAATCACATTGAACCTTTTATCCATTGTTGACAGGAATATAATTGAATCATTGTTTTTCACAAAAACATTTTAGAATATAAATACATATATCATTGTATTATACAAATTTTGATTCATTTATAATTAATATTCTACTGTACAACTATGAAATAATTACTATCCTACTGTACAACTATGATATACTACTACTTAGAATTAAGTAGAATGTAAGCCAATAATGTTAAGTTGGCCCATAATGCCAAGGCATAATAGAGGCTCTTTGTATTGCAACCCACTATTGTATATACACAATCTCAATGTACTGTTTGCAAAGACATTAAATAAATAAATCAGAAAGACCAGCCACTGCTCCCCCATCCCCTCCCAGTTAGTCCGTTGTATTGATTTTAAAATGAACATGTAATGCTTAATGTGGGTTATAATCAAATTATAAAGCAAAAACTTTACTCTAAAACCAGCTACTTCAGATGAGACCAAAGCAGTTAGCATTAACAACTTTTAAGACTACTGTTTGTTTTATAAAATTACTGGTTACTAAAATAATGTTAATTAGAATAGTGGTAAGATGTTGCTTTTATTCTATGCCATGCTCTTTATGGCAAACATTTTTATTTTTTATCTTTAGTTAAAGGTTATACAGTATCAGTAAATCTACCCTTCATGGGACATTCCTTCACATTGGTGAAGGGCTCTTGATCCAGCAAATTGGACTTGTCCACTTTGTGATCAAACCTGATTGCCTTTCATTCCCCAGGTATGGCATGATCCCTGTGGGTTTAGTTTCCCCTGCTTAAAAAAATATATTGCTAAACCTATCCATTATTCACAGGTAAGCCTTCCTTTTCTGAAGGTTGAAGACTGTAGACAACGATACGAAGGTATAATTCCAATCTCTACCAAAATGTTGTGTACTCTTCACAATTTTTCAGACGGTGTGAGTAGGGACTCTTGTAAGGTGAGTGTGCAGAATGAGACGTTTAATTGGAAAAAGTGTTGAAAAGATACTATTATTTTAATAATCATCATGAAGTGGTTTAAACTCTTAAGGGTTATGTAGTGTCTGGAGGGAGGGAGGTACAGTAATTGGGTTTGATCCAAGGAAAAGGAGGATAGATGCAGTTATTTGTATCTGGAGACTGTAAGCTCCTCACTCATTTCTATTCATTACTGGGTGATGAAAACTTCAAATGTAGTCTCAGATGTACCTTCCACTGAGCACTCATAATTGGCAGACTAAATTTTAGAGTATTGCCCAGTATGATATGCCAGAAACCATAACTTCACAATACGTAATGTAAAATGTGCAGAAGGGTATGAATTCTATTCCAGAGCATAATAAATTTTATCCCAGAGCAAAATAAAATTAATTGCCCAAATAAGGGAGCTCTTTGTAAGCCATAGGTATTGGCCAAGTATGAAGCATACAAATGATAAAATATGGCAAGTCAAACAAATAGACCAACTTGCACAGTTTGAGGTGCATTTTTATTTCAAGACAGGATTGAACAGTTCATTTGGGTTTAGCTTTATATCTTTCTTCTTTCAACACACCGGCCATATCCCACTGAGGCGGGGCGGCCCAAAAGAAAAAATAAAAGTTTCTCCTTTTACATTTAGCAATATATACAGGAGAAGGGGTTACTAGCCCCTTGCTCCCAGCATTTTAGTCGCCTCTTACAACACGCATGGCTTGCGGAGGAAGAATTCTTTTCCACCTCCTCATGGAGGCAAGAGAAAATAAAAAAGAACAAGAACTAGTAAGGAAATAGAAGAAAACCCAGAGGGGTGTGTATATATATGCTTGTACATGTATGTGTAGTGTGATGTAAGTGTAAGTAGAAGTAGCAAGACGTACTTGAAACCTTGCATGTTTGAGACAGAAAAATGGACACCAGCAATCCTACCATCATGTAAAACAATTACAGGCTTTCATTTCACACTCGCTTGGCAGGACGGTAGTACCCCCCTGGGTGGTTGCTGTCTACAAACCTAATGCCTAAATATATATTATAATTATTTATTATTAGTAGCAATGGCTTGCACAGTAACTTAATCCTTCAGCAACTTTATAACCCTTATGGGTTTAGCACTTCCTTAAAAGTATACCGTATGCAGATTCATAGAAACCTTAATCATACCCTGATGAACACTTTAATACAGCTCTCTGCATGTTAACCATTTAATGAGGATACCTCAGTGCAACTCCATGGGAAAGTGCAGTAAAATTTTCTCCATAAGCCATGCGTGTCATTAAGAGGCAACTAAAATGCTGGGAGCAAGGAGCTAGTAACTCCTTCACTACATGTATGTATATAATACTAAATTTAAGAAGAGAAACTTTCATTTTTCTTTTATGGGCCACCCTGCCTCGGTGGGATATGACTGGTTTGTTGAAAGAAGACCTCGGTGCAAGTGAAGGGTTCTTGATCAAAGGAATTGGAGCTAACCTCCCTCCTTCCTTAGATCAAACCTGATTACTCCTCACCCCTTCCATTGCCAAGGCACTGTATGGTTAAGAGTGTGGTGCTTCCTAAAATAAGGATATGCATATTAATTCAATGTTTTTTCTCAGGGAGACTCTGGTGGTCCTCTGGTCAGTGAAGGCCCAGAGGGCAGGTGGACACAAGTTGGAATAGTCAGCTTCGGGTACGGGTGTGGTCGTAAAGGTTACCCCGGGGTCTACACTAGGATAACACAGTATCTACTCTGGATATACCTTAAAATTGCTCAGAGTGAGATCAACTCGGGTGACATAAATATGTCACAGGCTGCTGGAAATTAAAAAAAAAAAAAAAAAGGTAACTAGGTATACAGTGTAGTACTGGTAATGTTTTTTTTCTGCTTTTCCTGTGACTGATTGTAAAGAGATTATAATCAAAATTGTCATAAAAGTTAAATTATGAGTTATTGTTCAGTACATTATTGATACAGTACTATATTACTTATACTGTCAGTTTAAGATTGTATGTTGCAAGTTCTTGATTAAATAGCATTTGTAATGCGTGCTACATTTGAACCAAATATTTATATAGACGAATAACTGTGTTATGAGTAGGTAATTTTTTATTACACAATTCATAGAGTAACCATTTAATATGTAGAGGTTTACAAAAATTTTATACAAAAAATATAGACATGTATAAATTCTGTATATTTTAGTTTTAACAACCCAAATCTGTGCAGAATTAATAATTCACATTTAAGATTTGTTTAGAAGTTTCTTTGGTTTAACCCTTTGACTGTTTCGGTCGTATATATATATGTCTTACAAGCTAATGTGTTTGACGTATGTATGCTCAAAAATTCTAGCGACTTCAAATCAAGCGGGAGAAAGCTGGTACTCCCACGTGTGAGAGAATGGGTCTGTGTGGTCAGTGTGCACAGTATAAAAAAATCCTGTAGCGCACAGTGCATAATGAGAAAAAATTCCAACTGTTTTTGGATTAAAATGCCGACTTTGAGGTGTATTTTCGTATAGTATTTATTTTTGTATTCTTGTCTTGGTTTCATTTAATAGAATGGAAGACATAGGTGGGTTTGATTAGTTTCACTATGAAAAGGACCTTAAAATAGAGCTCAAAGTAGTATAAATGTTCGATTTTTGCCGATGTTCAAGAGCAAACAAATGACAACATTGTCCAATAAATGTTCAACTAGCCATTCTAATACACAGTCACGAATGGGTTGACATTATTTATACAATTATTACAATAATGCAGTAGTCTGCATAACTGTAAATCTTCTATTTTTTGTGTGAATAAAAATTCAAAATAGAAACCAAGAGTAATATAAGAGGGGTCTGGAGATGTGACTGATGAACAGAGAAAATGTTATTTTAGTGCCAGGAATGTATGCATTGTTAAATCTGGACCCTATTTTGAAATTGGCATATTTTTTAATTTGTGTGAAATTGGCCAAATTGCCAGTTTGACTATTGGGTAGTTGAAATCGTAAATGGGCAGTTTCTTGTACTCAAATAGATAGAACAAATGGAGATCTACAGAAATAGCTGTTTAGTAGACCGGAACAAAGGAATTGGCCGAAAATAGGGCTCAAAGTGGGCAGAATCGCCAATGCGTAAATATTGCAGAGATCGCTAACTTCGCGAGTGTAATTCCACGAGTTTTCCATCAAATTTCGTACTTTTCGTGTCATTACCATCAGGAAAAGATTCTTTATCATTTCATAACATTTTTATTTTTTTCTCAAATATTTTGCCACACTGAGAGACTCTAGGATTGGGGGTTGCGACAGTTAAAGGGCTAATTTTGATCAAAATTGTCACCTGTTCACCTAGGGAAGGACACATTTACCTCCTCCCAACCAACACTAACCTATTTTTTTTTCCTAAACCTGTTGTGATGTGTAGTCTTTTGTAACCCATCTGCAGACACTTCCACTCCAAATACACACACAGTCAGACCTGTTTTCACATGCCTTAGTTTTCGTACGATTCGGTTTTCGACTACTTTTTTCGTCGCAATTTTGTCCGTTTTCACGAGGTTGAAAATGGTCCATACCAAACTAGTCCGCCTGCCTGCGTGACTCAGCCACTCATTTCCCGGAATAGTGCCCACACAAAGCATCCCATGCATTCGTGACTCAGTCTGCCTTTGTTTCTCATTGAGCGAGCATCACCCCACGCGTCCATCCAAAATATTTCGTGATAATCCATTGTTTTCTGTGCTTGTTTATTGAGTGCGACTGCTAAATAAGCCACCATGGGGCCAAAGAAAGTTAAGAGTGCCAGTCCTTTGATAAAGAAGGCGAGAAACACGATAGAATTCAAGAAAGAATTCTTAGCAAAATACGAAAGTGATATACACTTGGCCGATCTCGCCAGAATGCACGGGAAGTTCGCATCAACGATCAGTTCCATCCTGGTGAAGAAAAAAGAAATCAAGGAAGCCGATGTTGTGAAAGGGGTACTGTGCTAACAAAACAGATCGCAAACAATTGAAGATGCTGAGAAGTTGTTGGTGTGGCTCGACGGAAAAGTTAGCGGGAGATAGTGTTATGGAGGCAATAATTTGTGAAAAGGCAAGGCATACAGATCTCGCAAAGAAAATGCCTGGAACAAGTGCTGCTGTTAGTGAATTTAAGGCCAGCAGAGGCTGGTTCAACAAATCCAAGAAGCAAACTGGCATACACAGTGTGGTAAGGCATGGAGAGGCTGCAAATAAGACAAAAAAGGGAAGTAACCCCGGATAGCACCTTGATACCTGAATTCCTTATGAACGGAGATTCCCCTTCCAAACAATAACCTCCTCCTCCTCCCTCTTCCCTCCTTGCCGTCTTCCATGTGCCAACAAGAATCTTCAATAAAGGTAAAAGTGAATTTATTTCTCATTGTTTTTTGTATGTAAAACTATAGTTATTCTCTATGAAATATATTTTTTGTTAATATATTTGAGTGTCTGGAACAGATTAATTGGATTTACATTATTTCTTATGGGAAATATTGCTTCAGTTTTCGTATAATTCGGTTTTCGTTACTCTCTTCGAACTGATTAACCACGAAAACCAAGGTTCTACTGTATCTAAATACAGTGGACCCCCGGTATTCGATGGCATCGGTATACGTTAAATCCGGTATTCGATGCATTTTAACGCAAAAATTTTGCCTCGCCATTTGTTAAAAAACCCGCCACACGCGATTCGTCCGGGACATGTCCACGTGTGGCCTGAACTGCCCCGTGCATGCCAGTGTTTACAAGCCAGCCAGTGTGCTCGCATCTAAGCATACATTCGGTACATTCCATATCAGTGTTTTTGGTGCTTGTTTCTGCAAAATAAGTCACCTTGAGCCCCAAGAAAGCTTCTGGTGAAAATCCTTCAAGAAAAAGGGTGCTAATGACTATTGAAATGAAGAAAGAGATAATTGCAAAGTACGAAAGTGGAGTGCGTGTGTTGGAGCTGGCCAGGTTGTACGCAAAACCCCAATCAACCATCGCTACTATAGTTGCCAGGAAAACGGCAATCAAGGAAGCTGTTGTTGCAAAAGGTACAACTTTGTTTTCGAAACAGAGACCGCAAGTGTTAGAAGATGTTGAGAGACTGTTATTGGTGTGGATAAATGAAAAACAGATAGCATGAGATAGCATCTCTCAAGCGATCATTTGGGAAAAGGCTAGGAAGTTGCATGAGGATTTAATTGAAAAAATGCCTGCAACTAGTGGTGATGTGAGTGAATTTAAGGCTAGCAAAGGTTGGTTTGAAAGATTTAAGAATCGTGGTGGCATACATAGTGTGATTAGGCATGGTGAGGCTGCCAGCTCGGACCAAAAAGCAGCTGAAAAATATGTGAAGGAATTCAAGGATTACATACAGTGAAGAATTTAAACCTGAACAAGTGTTTAATTGTGACAAAACAGGCCTGTTTTGGAAGAAATTGCCAAGCAGGACCCACATTGATCAGGAGGAAAAGGCACTCCCAGGACATAAGCCTATGAAAGACAGGCTTACTCTTCTGATGTGTGCCAGTGCTAGTGGTGATTGCAAAGTGAAGCCTTTATTGGTGCATCACTCAGAAACTCCCAGAGTGTTCAGGCAAAAGAATGTCCTCAAGGCTAATTTGTGTGTGCTGTGGAGGGCAAACAGTAAGGCATGGGTCACTAGGGACTTTTTCTGTGACTGGTTACACCATGCATTTGCCCCCAATGTGAAAAATTACTTAATTGAAAAGAAATTAGACCTTAAGTGCCTCCTGGTCATCCTACAGACTTGGCAGAGCGACTTTCTGGGGACATGAGCTTCATTAAGGTCAAGTTTTTGCCTCCTAATACCACTCCTCTCCTGCAGCCCGTGGACCAGCAAGTCATTTCCAACTTCAAGAAACTGTACACAAAAGCTGTTTCAAAAGTGCTTTGAAGTGACCACAGACACTCAATTGACTCTTTTAGAGTTTTGGAAGGATCACTTTAATATCCTCAATTGTGTAAACCTTATAGGTAAGGCTTGGGAGGGAGTGACTAAGAGGACCTTGAACTCTGCTTGGAAAAAACTGTGGCCAGAATGTGTAGACAAAAGGGATTTTGAAGGGTTTGAGGCTAACCCTGGGAATCGCATGCCAGTTGAGGAAGCCATTGTGGCATTGGGGAAGTCCTTGGGGTTGGAGGTTAGTGGGGAGGATGTGGAAGAGTTGGTGGAGGAGGACAATGACGAACTAACCACTGATGAGCTGCTAGATCATCTTCAACAGCAAGAGGCCAGACCTGAGGAAACTGCTTCGGAGGAGGGGATAGAGAAATTGAGGAAGTTGCCTACTTCACAGATTAAAGAAATGTGTACAATGTGGACAAAGGTGAAAACCTTTATGGATGACAATCACCATCACACAGCTATTGCAAGCCGTGCTGGTGACTATTACAATGACTATGTTGTGAACCACTTCAGAAAAGTCAAAAAGGAACGAGAGGTACAGGCCACTATGGACAGATATGTTGTGCGACAGAAGTCCACTGACTCTCAAGCTGGTCCTAGTGGCATTAAAAGAAGGGAAGTAACCCCGGAAAAGGACTTGCCACCTCAAGTCCTAATGGAAGGGGATTCCTCTTCTAAACAATAAGTTCGACACTCTCCCCTCCTCCCATCCCATCAATCATCACCAGATCTTCATTAAAGGTAAGTGTCATGTATTCTATTAGTAGAGTACTACAAACTGTGCATGTCTTCAGTTTGTGTGCATTAAACTTAATATTTCATGTGGTAAAATTTTTTTTTTCATACTTTTGGGTGTCTTGCACGGATTAATTTGATTTCCATTATTTCATATGGGGAAAATTAATTCGCCTTCCAATAATTTTGGCATACAATGAGCTCTCAGGAACGGATTAATATCATATACCGGGGGACCACTGTACTCTTAACTTTTATTCTCCCTGCTTCCAAGCTGATAACCAATTTTTGAATGTATAAACTTATCACAATACATGTAGTCATCTTGTCACCCCGATCCACAAAGGAGGAGACCAAACAGAGTTGAATAACTATAGGCCAATATCCAACTTACACCCTCTCTCAAAAATCTTCGAAAAATTAATTCATAAACGAATCTACTCCTACCTTATCTCCCAAAACATACTCAACCCCTGCCAATTTGGATTCAGGCCTAATAAAAATACTAATGATGCTATTATACACATGCTAGAACATATATACACTGCAATAGAGAAAAAAGAAGTCCCACTGGGGATCTTCATTGACTTAC